ATCCCTGTTTTTCTGAATGTTAATTGGACAGGTTAAAGAAGGTTTTCCATCCTTTTACCAGAATATGTTATCTGGAATTGGTCAGCGGGTCCATTTACTCAAAAAATTGTTTTAATAGCCTCAAACTAAGGACCCTGGATATAATTTTCCATGCAGATGTGCCTCCTATCATTCGAATTTGGGTATGCCGTGATCCCATCTAGTTTTGCTTCCTTGCTGTCTAGCTTCTCCGTAAGGTGACTTTGGTAAGTGAGGCCAGGTGAAAGACTCATTCTGCGAATGCCCCAAATGCACTTATTCACACCCCTGGTTTCTCCCTGAGATGATAATTCAAAGTTTGTGTGTGGTGGGTGTATGATGACATCATGCAAGAAGCCTGGGGGAAATTCATTGGTTGCTCAACTGCTGCCATATTGATACTAAGGAGGTCAGCTACTCAGCAAGCGGCCACAAAGCATCCGTGTAATAATGTTGACTTGCCATCTTAATTGTTGATTGAATCCATGACCAAATGAGTAGCAATGAAGCCAACCACTTGCTATTTAGTACGCATCATGAAACCTAGTTGTGAAATTTGTATCTGGGTTTCCAATCCAAAGCTGTTGCTGGTCTGATATAGAGGACATGCAATAACTGGCAGAGTTTAGGACCCATGAGGGACACAATCTTTGTCCAGAGAGCTATAGGTTGTTGTTGTTTTTAAAAAGAGTGGCCTGGGGCCCCTGCTTTAGTGCTGGTGACCCACTTCTTCATCTAGGAAACAACCTCATTTCATTCTTCCCTTTCCATGCCTTCCCATCGTAGCTTTTCATCTCCCACCCTTCTTTTTTTATTTTGATCTCTGAATAGTGCACAGCCCACCACGGTCTCTCTGCCATCTCAGCACTGTGATCTTTAGATAGACATTGTACATTATTTGCCAACAGGATGGCTCGGGTGCAAAGAGGAGCTTAAGAAGACACCATCTGCCTCTGTCTTTCACACACATTCTCTGCTCTCTCTTGTTTTGTTTTTGTGTCTCTCTGTGTGTGAACATCCATACAGAAAAGCAATTGCTAATTAGAGCGAGAGAAAGAGGGTGTGGAGAAGAAAAAGAGGGGATCTGGGAGCAATTCTGCCTCCATGCAAATCAATCAGCCTTTAAAGGCAGAGGGGAGAAGAACGGGGAGCAAGCTTTTCTTCAGAAGGAGTGGGAGTGGGTTATTTTGACAAAACAAGTGACAAAGGTCTTTCTGATGTGAAAAGATGGCTTTAAAAAACCCCTTTTCACCATAAAACGAGAGAAAGGGATAAAAGAAGGAGTGAAAAAGTGTTTCTTACAAACTCCCTCTGTTAAATTCTCTCAATAGGTCCATTCTGCAATTGTCTCTATTAAAAGGACTGTAAAGTGTATCATTTTCATGAATGCTTTGTGCGTACATGTTATGTGTGTGTGCATGATTCGCACCCCTCCCCCTAAAAAAATCAATAAATCTGGCTGCAAATTTGAATACTGGAGGCTTTCCCTAACATTATTTGTAGTATATGATAGCGCTTCCATGTGTCAGATCCACTAAGATACCAAGAGCAGCCTGAAATCCCAACAGAGGAAATTTGCTGAGTAGTTTCTCAAGAAATATTTCCTGGTGGTTTCTGCTCCCCATTTTCATCTTCACTGTAGCACCCTATGCATCTGCTGCTGAGCCACCAATGTCCACAACACATCCTTCCATTGCTATTGTCATTTCTGGAGCAGAGAGCAGGGCTAGCTAATATATTTTGTTTGGAACGGCACCAAAAAGCCTTTTTTTATTCTTCAATGCATGTTGTTGTTGTTTAGTCGTTTAGTCATGTCTGACTCTTCGTGACCCCATGGACCAGAGCATGCCAGGAACTCCTGTCTTCCACTGCCTCCCGCAGTTTGGTCAAACTCATGCTGGTAGCTTCGAGAACACTGTCCAACCATCTTGTCCTCTGTCATCCCCTTCTTGTGCCCTCCATCTTTCCCAACATCAGGGTCTTTTCCAGGGAGTCTTCTCTTCTCATGAGGTGGCCAAAGTATTGGAGCCTCAGCTTCAGGATCTGTCCTTCCAGTGAGCACTCAGGGCTGATTTCCTTCAGAATGGAGAGGTTTGATCTTCTTGCAGTCCATGGGACTCTCAAGAGTCTCCTCCAGCACCATAATTCAAAAGCATCAATTCTTCGGTGATCAGCCTTCTTTATGGTCCAGCTCTCACTTCCGTACATCACTACTGGGAAAACCATAGCTTTAACTATACGGACCTTTGTTGGCAAGGTGATGTCTCTGCTTTTTAAGATGCTGTCTTCAATGCATGCTTTGCTATTAATAGGGTTCAGCCTCATTGTGTTGTCTTGCAATCTTGAATGGTATTTAGCATCGTCATGCAATCTTGGAGTCACCCTAGATTTATTATTGCATGTGGATCTCTACATTGCAGGTGTGTATTTTGCCAACTCTTAATGTCTCCACTTCAGAAACAGACCTCTGATGTGATGGGTAGAAGTTCGAAATGCATTATATCTGTTTAGCACTTTCACTTTCAAAGCTGCCTATTGACCTCATTATTATTATTGTGTGTACCACCCATCTTCCCAGAGCACAGGACACTGCACAATATGATGAAGTGCAATACAGCAATAATAATTAAAAAACAATCAGTTATGGCAACTAAACTAATAGGAAAACAGCAGGGGATAACTCAAATAATAGCAGGGTATCAGCAGTAAGGCCCTAGTCTACATTATAATAGGGCTCAGTCATCAAGAGTACATTATACCAGGGCTCCGGCTACTGCTCCTCATTTTCTCTCAGGCTCAATATGATATTGGATTTAATTCACCAGTGTTTGGGCCCTGCACACCTGAAAGATTGCCTCTTCACCCTTGTATCATTCTGAGAACACCTTTTTTCACCTAATAGGTTGGCTAAGAACACACCTCTTTCATGCATTCATATTTGGGCAGCATATAGAAGTTGAATTCAGATCATTGTTTAACCAGAAGGCTTTGAGCAATTGTGAATGGCACACAGAGAAGCGGTCTCAGTGGTTGACACACGGTTACCTACTGGCTTGTTTGCCATCTTGATGGCACAATTTTTCGACTCAACTTCGCCAGCTACACGCCACCCCATTGCCAAATTGCAATCTGTTTAATAAAGATACTATTGGGATAGTTCAGCATCATCACCTTGCATGATTTATGATGCACACCGTCACTTGATAAATAAAGAGCTACTTAATGGATTTGAGCAGCTTCTCCACATTTCTAAGTGTCTGCAGAGCGCCATCTGTCAGGGTTGTTTTAGTGGAGATTCCTCTATTGCAGAGGGTTGGACTAGATGACCCTTGGGTCCCTTCCAACACTATGATTCTCTGATATGAGTAGCCACTGTTAAAAATGTACATAATTCAGACATCACTGGATAGTACACTGTAACGGGAGGTATTAACATGGCATTTCTTATGGACAATTTTTACTGGAACAAAGGAACTGCTTACATGACAACTAATCCTCTGCCCTCGCCATCTGCACTAGTAAGGTCCATGTTGAATCATAGAATCACAGAAACGTAGAGCTGGAAGGGACCCAAGGGTCATCTAGTCCAACCCCCTGCAATGCAGGAATCTCAGCCAAAGCATCCGTGACAGATGGCCAACAAGCCTCTGCTTAAAAACCTCCAAGGAAGGAAAGTCCACAAGAGATAGCTAACATGAGATGGCGATGATACTTAACTGTCACACTATTGCTTCACATGGTGGCCAGTGCTACAGTATTTATTATTATTATTATTATTTAAAATCAAGAATGTTACTAACAAAAGCTAAAATCTCCTGGTAGCGTTCTTTGATTTCTTCAAGGTGTTGCTTTTTTCATGCAATGTTTGCCCGTTTTCACCACTGGGTGGAACAGGCAACCCACTTTTCCTGGTGATCTCTCAAGCATCAATGAGATTTAGGTAGAAGATGACGTTGATGCACCATACTGTAGTTTTAAAAAAGACCCAAAAAAACACAGATGTAATTTTTCTTAAATGTTGGCCTTAATGAATACATCCATTAACACTTAAAACAATTTCACAAGACAAATGGCCAAGAATACCCAGTTACCATCTTCACTAATGAGTACAAGGAGTTTTAATGGGGGTCTTAATTGGACATTATAGCAGAAATGCTACACTTGTGATTTGAGGCCTTTTCCCACCCTGCTCCTAGAGGCGTGGGACACACCTCGACTGATTTAGTTCATAGGGCTACATACTGCTATCTTTATTAGCGTGGTAATAGAAGGAAGTTGTTCTCTCACTATCGCTTACCTCTTGAGACCTGAGAACAGAAGGTGGGAAGAGAGAAAAAGCTGGCTTTGTGTTAAAGCCATAAAGTCTGTATTGATCTCAGTCTTCAGATCTGGTGTTTCCCTTCTTTTTCACACTAGAGAGATGAGGTCTCTGTCACTGCCCACTTATAATGTTGGTTCCTGTGATACCTGCCTACACTCACCATCCCCTAAGTGGAAGCAGAATTGCAGTATTTGAAATGTCTGGAGCTGCAACCAGGTATAGGTTCAAGAAATCTCACTTCATTAAGCAACCATGTCTGTGACAGATCACAGCATATTATTATTATTATTATTATTATTATTATTATTATTATTACAACTGCCCTTCATCTAAAGATCAAAGGATGGTTCACTTCCATACATCACTACTGGGAAAACCACAGCTTTAACTATACGGACCTTTGTTGGCAAGGTGATGTCTCTGCTTTTTAAGATGCTTTTCATTAGGATGTCCCTATTTCCATTGGAGAAATGTTGAGTTATCGGAACCTCAAGCTGTCTGAAGGCAATCCTGTATAGAGAAGGGCTTTAAAAAAAAAGTTTAATGTTTTATTATGTTTTTATATAAGTTGGAAGCTGCCCAGAGTGGCTGGGACAACCCAGTAAGATGTGTGGGGTATAAATAGTAAAATTATCATTATGGAATGGGACGTCCCTATTTTCATTGGAGAAATGTTGGAGGCACACATATCAGACGGTTGCTGCCTGTACATTCAATATTCTATTGGCAATAGCACCTGTTCTATGATAACCTTGTGTGCATTTCATGTTGAACTGACACAGTATTGTTCACAGCATGCTGTTTTGTCCTCAAACATCCAGAACAATTGGGATGCATGCCTAATCTACTCCTCGTCATGTGGTCACCACATCCCAGGAGCAGGCTGGAAGTGTTCCTGTAACTCCTGTAAGATCAAGGCATCCGTGTGGTGTGTGTTTTATGGGAGAAGGGATGCTCTTAGTTGCCCTCAATTTTAAGCTAAAACAGAAACAAACAATCTCAACTGAGCAATCTCTTTCATGTTACCAGGCTGAAAGGGGAATTCCACAAGGTGCCCAGTCCTAGATGTGAAAGAGTGTGTTTGAGCACAGGCAATGCTGTATCGTTGGCACCTTTGATCATCAATGTGTCTGTCTGCTCTGACGAAGTAAAATCAATGGCAAGACTTTGCCGAGCAAAATAGTCTTTTATTTTTTTGTGTTGCTTTTGCAAAAAAATATATATGTCCCTGCAAGTCAAGCGAATGACCCGAAAGGTGGCTTCGCTGCTTTCCCTCCCCGCTGGTGCTCTTCTCAACAGAGCAGGGTACATTGTGGGGGCTTTTTTTCTGTTGTTTTAATGAGAACGTTTGAATGTCATATTGATTTTTAGCCTTAAAAAAAGCATGTATTGATTTTTTTTTTGGTGAGGGAACTTTTCACAAGCTTATTTAAAAATGGTGGGATAAAGCTGCTTCAAAATTGTTGACTTTGTTCTATTGAGTCAGCAGTAGATGGAAACTTTTTTTGTGGTAGTTTAAATGGTTGGAGAAACTTTTGTGCCTGTTTTAAAATGCTGTTTGAACTGGGATTCATGTCTCTTGTCCGTGGTGCTAGGGATTTGTGTGCTGACATAAGCTAGTTGTTGATGGAGGTATCTAGCGGGTGGAAAAGAACTCTGTAAGTCATTGTTGGCTCTTTGGGATCTATTAAAATGTAAAGAAATTTATCTCCGGAGCTGTTAGCCTCCATTTTCATGCTAAACAGGGCTATCCTACAGTTCCTATCATCCTTCACCATTGGTCATGCTGGCTGGGGCTGATGGGAGCAGGAGTCTAGCAACACCTGATAGCTATTCCTTTATGAACCTTAAAAATACAGATCAAAAAGGTGGGAGTGTTAATTGTGATTATTAAGATGTGGCTTGTTTGAAACTAGGACATGAGAACCCAGAAAGTGATCCGTAAAGAGCCCTTAGATATTTTCAGACTTTATATTTCATCCCTGGCAAGGATAGCAATTGATTTTGTGACAAGCCCGAAAAGGTGAAAACATGTTGGAGGGAGGCGGAAGGGGTGGGGCAGAAGAGAACAAAACGATCAATTTAATATCACTTTGTGGCGAATGGGCAAACTATGCATGCTGACTCAGAAGTAAGCCCCACTTAGTTCAGCCAAGATTGCTCCTTGGTAAGTGTGAATAGGGTTGTAGCCATTCAGAGCGACCCTTTGCATATCTTCTCAGATGCCTATTCCACTGAGTTAAATGAGACTTAAAGGCATGTGGGCATAGACCTGCAGTCAAAGGACTAGACAAAATAACAGGCAGCTGGGCTTGCAAAGGTGATTATTGCTCTTGGCCCATGGCATTGTAAACTGTAGGGAAGGTTTTTATTTTTATCTTGGTGCATCTGAAGAAGTGTGCATGCACACGAAAGCTCATACCAATAACAAACTTAGTTGGTCTCTAAGGTGCCACTGGAAGGATTTTTTTTTATTTTGTAGGGATGGTGTTTGTTGTTAGCAGCTGTCTTGAGAGAGAATGGAGTGTGTTTTGGGGGTGAATCAGAGCTTTCCAGGTTGATGAGTCCCATCTGCCCCTCACTTCCCTCTACTTCATGTGCTGTAACTGCCTTCTTGACCATGGGATCCACAACTGGTCTCATCCACTCTATCTGCCAGAGCCTATCTTTGCATGCAGGTGAAGTCCCTAACTCACTGAAGGTTTGAGACCCATCGGCTACCCTACCTGGTTTAGCAGACCAAAGGGTTGACATAGAATTATGCAAACTTGTGAAATAGCCTAAAGCCTGGGGGTACAGTTAAGGGGAATAGGTTTTATCTATTGCTGATTCTAATTAACATAGTGCTGCATGTCCTTACCTTCTGCAGAGGGGAATACTGCTAGACCTGCTAAATATTAGAGGTGTGCACGGCCCCCAGGGTTGGTCTCATTTCTGTATCTCTGCCTTTTTAATAATTCCAGTGTTTCTTAGTTGCTCTGTGCTTTCTTCACTTCAATCTGAAATTCACGTTCCAAGCTGCTCTGTATAAATTAAACTGTGTCTATATTCATTTAAGTCAAAATGGATGAAATTTACAGGCACAGGAGTCCTTGCCAACTTGCAAAATACAAGACATGAGGCTCTTTGTGAGGGGCAGAAACAAGATTTTCGTCCACAATCCTTTATGAGGTGGGGTACTGGGGTAGGCAAGGGTTTGTCTCCAGTGCTTCTTACTTCAAATTGATTAAAAGGTAGCCAAGTAGTGGGTATTCTGCCTGTAGATGTATGTATATATATATATTTAACCAGCTTTTCTCTGAGCTTTCCTTTCCAGTCCTTATTTCTTTTTCCAGTCCTTGTGCTTTCTAGAATGCTTCTTTTGGAGCTATGAAGAGCTCTGTTTGTTTTTGTTAAAGCAGAGCAACACAGTTGTTGTTTTTAAATTTACATGAATCTTTTAACTTTTCCAAAAAAAGAAGAAAAGAAAGAAAGAAGAGCTCACTGCTGATCTATTTAAATGAAGAAGAAAAAAATTCCAGTGTTCTTTATACTTCACAGGTGATGTTTTGGACAGCATCACTTTTTGCAAAATCCACACACCTTTATTCAATCCACCATAGAGGTGATGCACAACCCTATTAAACATCATTCCAGTTTGACAAATGCTGTCAGTTGCAGTCACAGGTTTGTACATGTGGAGCTACTGTATTTTGGTGCAGCATGTAAAGGGGCAACATACAGAACTTGGGGTGGGGGAAGTATTTTAGGTTTGATAACTGCACAGCCCAGCCCACCCTGAACTGTCACTGAGGATCCGAGGATGTTGTGGTGCATCCCTGAATTGTAAGGAAAAGGACCCTCGTTCGGTGGTAGAGTTATCTGCTTTGCATGCAGACGGCCCCAGATTCAATTCTGGATGTCTCCAGCTAGGAATGAAAATGCCCCCTGACTGAAACCATGGAGAGTCACTCAATGCGGGAAGCTCTGAGCTAGATGGACCAGTGATCTGATTTGGTATAAGGCACCTTCCTATTTGCAGCGCAGCCACATTGGGCATCAAAATCTCTTGGATGATGCCTGTTGAAGCCACTTGGAGCAGCCTCATTGCTCAGGGACACTAATCTCTCTCTCTGTGTATATATATATCTTATCCTCATAGCTTGAACCTTGGTTTGTTTGAGCCTTCTTGAGGAGGTAGGAGCAAGATAGGTCACCGAGTAAGGAGCTGGAATCTCAATCACAGGACTCAGTAACAACAGGCAACTGCTCCTATTCTGTTGAGGCTTAAAGGCCATGCTCCAGTATTTATATCTGGCTTGTCTGGCCTTGCTATTTTTAATCTCCTTTTTAAGGTTAAATATGCTGCTGCATGGCTGTTTTCATTTCTTATTTATTGGTCTACTTGCTTGTACTGTTTGTTTGCTGCATTGTAAAAACTCATTTGTAAGCTACTTTGGGAGTCCCTTGGGGGCTGGAGGGCAAGACACAGAATACCCCAACAAATAAACACAACATCACAGTTTGGGTTCTGGTCTTGTGCTCCCTGACACGAAGGTTTAGTGGACTACTTATATTTCTAACTTTTTTTTTTAACCACCAAAGGAAGGTGAAGTGTAGCCAAAAGGTGGTTGGTTAAGTGGCTGCTTACAGTCTTTTAGTCTCTTAACTGGATGAGTTGTGAGCAGCAGACATTCTACAGCAAGGCTGCTCAAAGTGCTGGTCCATGGACAGGTGCTGGTCTGCAAGCCATCAGCTGTCATTCCTCAGCAAATCCACCACAGCCTAGATTGGATGGGGCACTTCAGAGACCAAATATAGTACCAGTCCCTAGCAAGCTGTGAGAGGGAGAGAATTGGTGCTCCATCACAGCAAACAGCTTGAGAAGCATTGGTCAATGGTGTTTCTGAAGGATCTATTCCATTACTCTAGTTAAGATTCATCCCTGTGTGGAATAGTAACCATCACAGACTTACCCATCCAAGGACAAAATATATCTCCCTGTGTTTCTCATCTGTATGTCTTACCTTGAAAAGTTCTGGCATCTGCTTTGTTATGACAGGGATTGGGGTGGGGTGGGGAATGTGACCCTACAGATATTGTTGGACTCCTATCAGGTAGCATGACAAATGGTCATGAATTATGAAAACTGTAGTTGATCAATATCTGGAAGGCTAGAGGTTCCCTGCTCTTGCCTAAATGTGCAACAAAATGGCAAATAGATTGTAAAGTGATGCTCATTGATGTGAAATATTCCAGCCACATATTGACAATTAATGTGGTTGTGGTGTATAACTAAATGAAAACATCATTTCAGTGGTTGGCAGTGGTGGAGAAAACAACTTCTAGGTGAGGGATTTTTAGGAAATCAGTTGAAAATACAATTGCCAGTATTGTGGTCATGGATGATGGGAGTTGTAGTCCAACAACATCTGGAGGACCTCAGCGACCCTGTCTTTTGCTTCCTTGAACATTTCATCCTTCTTTCACCTTCCCTAGAACAATAATTAAATAAGCAACATTGGGGGGATTTTCTGAGCCTTTTATTCAATACTCCATCCGAGGTGGGGAAACTTAATTTTCAGGGATGAGAACATCAGGAAGGAGAAAGAAGAATTTCATCACCATCATTTAATCATTTTATTTGTATGCCACTTTCCATAGTTAAAAGTTTGCTCAAGGCGGCTTACAACATAAAAAGATTTACACAATTACAAGCATAACAGGAGTACTCATCCACAATAAATAAAACACAACAAAATTGAACACTGTGAAGGACCCCTGAGAAAATGTCACCACAGACTCCTAGTTATTGACCATTTGGTAGAACAAGGAACTCAGCATTTTCTTTTTATTAATTAAGGAAATTCAAGATGATTCCTCCTTCAGTCATAAAGTCTCCGTTATCATTGGCGTACAAAGCACCAACATTTCCAGCTGTGTTTCAGCAGTGATGTGAATGGATGTGAGTTGATGCCTTATAATGGGCTCTGCCACAGCTGATAAAAATGCCAAGCAGAAGCACTGAGATGCTTATATTTTGATGCAGTCACAGTCCATAATTGGACCAGAAACGTGTGTTCTATTAGCATTATTCCCATTATGCCATCTCTAATCAGGGGGGAAATGGACCTTTTGTATATTTCAAAGCAGCTGTCTAGTATCTTTCTGAATGAGGAATGATTCCACATGGTGCATGTTAAGGGACAATCTGCAGCTCCCATTCTAAAACATGTTTAAGGCTTCATTTTGGTTTTACAAATGATTTTTGAGCATTCAAGTAACGTATTTTGGTGGCAGCCTGAAGGCATTCAGATTTTATGGTCTTCCGCTGGTATTTCCCCATCTCAAAGAAGGACGCACCAGAAGTTAACCTGTATCTTGTAGATACCAAGTATCCTCTGTGTTCTCTTGTAGTACTTGTGTTGGTTGTGGTCCTAATATCACTGTGACACTTCAAAGATAATTTGCTGTGATGCTAGTTTGGTTTCCTGTGGAGGATTGTGGAAAAACATTTGCATGTCATTCACTACTTTCTGAGTTCAAAACCAGCATTTATTCCTTCAGTGCTAAAAGGCATTAAGTCAGGACCTTCTCCAATACAGTAGTTCCTCAGTTTACAAACTTAATCCATTCCAGAAGTCCGTTCTTAAACCAAAACAGTTCTTAAAACGAGGCCTCCTGCTGCCAGTGCCCTTCCACTATTCAGATTCCGTTCTTAGACCGAGGTAAAGTTCTCAAACCGGGACACTATTTCTGGTTTTGCAGAGTTTGTAAACCGAATCATTCTTAAACCGGACTGTTCTTAAACCAAGGTACCACTGTATTATACTCTGCAAATTCTGTTGGACTACAACTCCCATAATCTCTGACCATTGGGCATGCTGGATGGGCAGATGAGAGTTGGACTCCAACAATATCTGGAGGACACCCGGTTGCAGGAGGCTATATTAAGGTGTACAATATAGTTATTGAGACTGCATGTTTCCCTGCCCTCTTCATCCTGTTCTTTACCCTCTTATGATATATATTCAACAGCCCCTTCTAAGGCTGTCACCACTGTCTGAGATAAGATTGGTCGCCTAATAATAGAGTTTTTCCAGTGGTGGGCCCTTGATTGTGGCATTGTCTCCTGATAGAAATAGGCGAGATCCTGCCATTTAAGAGGAGTGTGAAAACCATTCTGTTTCAACAGGCATTTGGGCTACAGGGAATAACACTGCTTTAAATTCTGTTTCAATATGCTATTTATACTCATTTTCATCTATTGTTTTTAAATGGCTTTTGATACTAAGTTGGGGGTTGAGGCATCCTTTTATGATGACTTCTGCTTATGGGATCAGTTCATCAGCTCAGTGTATCCACAGGTTGCCACGGGGGACAATTTTGTCCCCAATGCTATTTACTATCTAAATTGAAGCTTCTAGGGGCAGTCATTAGGACAGTTGGAGCAAAAAGTCACCTTTATGCTGATGATGCCCAGCTCCATAATATCTGTACTAGGAGAAGCCTTGTGTTAAAAATTGGTACTAGGATTCACTGTTCATCTGGATGAGGACTAATGAAATGCAGTTGAATACAGACACTATGGATGGATGGTTTCTAGGTTGAGAATTGGGCTCTGTACCTGCCCTGGTTTGGGTTGCACTCTCTGAAGGAGCAGGTACAGTACATAATTTGGGGCTGCTCCTAGATCCACTGCTATCATTAGAAGCATGGGTGACCTCTGGCCCAAAGCATCCATTATCAGCTTTGATTGGTGCATAACCAATGATCTAGAGAAGTATAAACTTGCCACAGTGGGCCATGCTATGGTAACCTTGCTGGCATTTAAAGCCCAAAACAACTTGGGACTAGGTTATGTAGGAGACTGCCTTCCCCAGTCCCCTGAGCTTTTAAGATCTCCTGAGGAGACCCTGCTGGTCTTTCCATGATAAGTGGATTGTCATTTGGTTACAATGCAGAAGCAGGCCTTTTCAGTGGTAGCACCCAGCCTCCCTCGACCAGTATGTGAGTTGGAGGAAGTAATGGTCTTTAAACCTCTTACCTTTTCAATTCCTTTTTTGTTGCACACTGGCCAGCTTTAGCTGTGATGTATAGTTTTGTCCTGTTTGTAGGACATTTTGTGGACTATGATTGTTATAGGAAATTTTATTTGATGCTTTATTGGATGGGGTCTGAGAAGCACCCCATGGCCAGCCCCAGAGGCATCATTTGCCTGGGGAGCTTGTAGCCAGGGCTGCTGCAACAAACAGCTGTGCAAGCCTTTGGGAGACAGAGACGCAAGAGGGCATCAGAGGAGGATGGAAAGGAAAGAGGGACAGGGGCCAGTGTTGCCTGCAGCACCCCTGACCATCATTCAAGACACCCTGGGTGCCACACACACTGCTTGAAAACCACTGCCATAAGCCATTCCCTAGCCCCCTATTTGAAACAGAGATACACTATCTAGGGTGGAGACAGAAATGTCC